GCTGTAGAGATGTAGAGCGCTGTAGAGCTGTAGAGCTGTAGAGCTCTACATCCTCCGCGTGACGAGGCGGGTGCGTTGTAGAGCGATGTAGAGGCGCTCTACAACGTGAAATCTCTACAACAAACTCTACATCATAAGCGGCGAACGAGGCACGCACGGTCTCTCTCCGACATGAGGGGATGAGGCGCGTTGCACTTGCCAGTGCTGCCCTGGCCTTCTGTCTGCCCGCCCAATGGGTGGCAGGTGCCTCTGCTGCTGACCTGTGGCGTGCCTCACGGCTGCGACTGGCCGGCGCCTCGGCGCGTCAGCTCGGCTCGGCGTAGCGATAGTGGCCAGCGCAACTCGCCTGGACTCAACGCTCAGCCAGGAGCTCCCGCACGCGCTGGCGCGAGGCATGGCGCATGCAACGCGTCTGAATGCTCGCCTCGCCTCGCCCCTCGCGCAAATGCGACCGTCCTCGCAGCCGACAGTCCACCGCCTGCTAAAGAAGCACAGCGACGAATGCGGCACCGGCGACGCATGGCAGGCTGGTCATGACGCAGTTATAGGGTGTTGTGTGCCGTCAGAGTGACTCTCTGTGTGTCAGGGATAGTCAGGGCCGTCCATCAGAGCTCCAGTAAGCTCGGAGACACCCCATTAGGATTAGCGCGGCTCGACCTCCTTGAGTCACTGCCTTCCCGGCGGTTTGGCTGTAGAGCCTCTACAACAAACTCTACAGCAAAATCGCGCTCTACATCGCTCTACAACGGAGGCGCTTCGTCCCGCGGCGGATGTAGAGCTCTACAGCTCTACAGCGCTCCAGAGCGCTCTACATCTCTACAGCTCTACAGCGCTCTACACTCTACATCCTCTACACCCTCCCTCAGCCTTCGCTGTCCCATCTCCTCATCTCTTTCCCACCTAGGCGGGGCGGGGGTCGGGGGGGCGGCGGGCGCGGGTGCGAGGTGCGGTGCGGTGCGTGCAATCGTGTGTTTGGCGTCATGTCGTGTGTGCCTTCCCCCGAAGTCTACCTTAACAACGAAGTCTACCTCAAAAAAAAGTCTTTTGCGACGCTTCGCAGGCCATGCTCGTACGGAGGCTGGCGCTCACGGCCACCCGCGCTCCTTGCGGCCGATTGGCGGCGGCGCGGCTGGCGGCGGCGCGCCCGGGCCCGGCGCGAACGCTCTGCTCGGACAGCGACTTCATGCCGCAGCGCAAGAAGTTTGCGGCGGACGGCAACGTGAAGGACCAGATCCAGAAGGAGATTGAAGCCAACCCGGTCGTCGTCTTCATGAAGGGCGTCCCGAGCGCACCTATGTGCGGCTTCTCCAAACAGGTCGTGGAGGTGAATGGCCACTGAGCCGCTGCCGCTGCCAACGCACCTGTGCCGGTTCCGCTGAGAAGCACGGCGTCTGGATCAGGTGCTCAAGACTCAGGGCGTACCATTCAAGGGCATCAACGTCCTCGCGGACCCCGACGTGCGCGAGGGCGTCAAGGCGCGCACTCCGAGGCCCGCCCCACTGCCGCCAGCCCTTTCCCTCGGCAACAATGCACTCTCCACAGGAGTTCTCAAACTGGCCGACGGTTCCGCAACTGTACATTGGCGGCGAGTTCATTGGAGGCTGCGACATTACGGTGCGCGCAGCCTCGATCCCAACGCGCTCACGTCTGCGCGTGGCGAGGCCACCGGCCTAGCCCCTGCGCTCGCCCCGCCGCAGGTGGAGCTGCACCAGAGTGGAGAGCTGGCCGAGGAGCTGAGAAAGGCGGGTGTCAAGGACTGATCGGTCGGCTCGTGCCAGCGACCTCGACGCGGAGGACCGTGGCGAGGCTCGAGATGCCGTCATCCGCCCTTCCCGCCCGGTCTCCTCCCCTCCCCTCCTGTCTCGTTGCTCTGGTCCTCCGCCGTGTCTGTGCAGTGGTGTGTGTGTGCGCTGGTATGTGTGCGCCGGTGTGCGGGAGGGAGGCGGCCTTGTCTTCGATAGCACTCTCCTTCCCACACCCGGGCGCACGGCGCTCTCCCGCATCGCATTCAGGCGTTGACCGTGTAGTGTACATCAGGGCCGTACGAGATACGACACTCTCACCGTCCGACAGCCACGCCCATTACGTGAGGCGATGTTAGGGTTGCTGGAGAGCAATCCCGCATACGTGCTACGACAAAGAAACTGTCCCTATAATGTGAATGAGAAAGCGAATTCGTCGCGATTCAAGGCCCGGATCACACGGTAGGCATAGACCATAGAGTCTGGAGAGTGTATCCTAAATAAAAACGAAAGAGTTCTGTGGATGATTTGTTTGGGTCTCAACACACAATAAAAAGGTTTGGAGCAAAACGACAAAAATGGGCCCGACCGGGGCAAAGTGGTAAAAGTCGCGCGCCGCAGGCGCGCGAAAATTTTGGACATTCTACTCTCCTCTCTCTCCGTCGGCGCCCGCGGCGCTCTCCAAATACTCGCTCACTATAGCGGCGTGCAGGCTGCAGCCGGCGGCGCAGCCACGCCTTGTTGCCCGAGAGGGCCTCGGCACGCTTGCCCAGCTCCTCCTTGAGCTCCACCACCTTCATCGCCACCAGCTCCTCTTCCCGCGAACTCGCCTCCCGCGCTAGCATTGTAGCGCGAGAGTGGATCTCCTGCATTGCACGCTCTGCACCAGCCTCTCGCGCTCGGTCGCCTCGCTATAACGAGCCAGTGCTATCTGCGCAATCTTGGCGTTGTTTTTGAGCCGATTTTGCCTCCACTGATTGCACCGCGCCACACTGTGCTTTCGTGGAGCCGGGTTGACGCGGGGCCTTCTGATGGGATTTAGCCAAAGTGACTCATCGCAGCACATGACGACCGCCCACCGCTTGTGCAAACGTGATCACTCGCTGCTGCACTGGCTGCTGCTGCTGCAACTGGCTGCTTCTGCTGCGCACTGGCTGCTGCTGCACCTGACCCAGCGCGTGTGAAGGCACTTGCCGAGGCTGCGGCCGGAGCGGTGTAGGCGGACAACGAAACGAGCGGCGTGACGGGAGCATCACCGTTGCCCAGGCGCGAAAGTGTGTTGTGGGAGGATGCGTCCTTATGTGTCAGAACTTGTAGCGCTACATGTTTGGACACACACGGGAACTATCTCTCACTCTCTCTCTCACTCTCTCTCTCTCTCTCTCTCTCTCTCTCTCTCTCTCACCTGCGGCGGTGGTGGCGGCGGAGGCGGCGGCGGTGGAGGCGGTGGCGGGGGAGGCGGTGGCAGTGGCGGCGGTGTCGGTGGAGGCGGTGGCGGCGCAGGCGGATGGCGCTGGCGGTGGCGGTGGCGGTGGAGCCGGTGGAGGCGGTGAAAGCGGGAGAGGCGGAAGAGGCAGGGGAGGCGGGAGCAGGCCGGAGGAGACGGGAGGAGGCGGGATGACGCGGAAGGAGGCCGGAGGAAACGGGGCACGGGGCATCACGCGAATGCGTGCTTGCACCGAGAGGCAGAGGGGCACACCTCGCCCGACGC